TCTCAACCTTGGCACTTGATGGAGGTGAGTGGTCAGCTTCATGTATCTGCCGCTTTACTCCCAATACCCATTGGATAGAGGCAAAGGTGACTGTATGATTAATGAATATGTAGCAGTTGCTACAATGAGAATTGGCAAGAGGAAATCAAAGAATTTGGAGAAAACCTACCTCAGTGTCATTCTGTCCACCACAAATTCTATGTGATCTGACCAGGGATCCAAATAACGTTTTTATAAATGGGAGTACAATGACACAGTACTTCAGCTATTCATAGACTTCAAAAAAGTCTATGATTCAGTTAGGAGGAGAGCACTGTACAATATTCCAATAGAGTTTGGGGTACCAATGAAACTAGTTAGGCTGATTAAAATGTGTTTAAACAGAATGTATAATAAAGTCTGTATAGGTAAACATTTGTCTCATAATTTTCCTATATAAAATGGTCTAAAATAAGGAGATGCTTTATCACCACTCCTTTTCAACTTTGCTTAAGAATATGCCATTAGGTAGATCCAGTAGAACCAGGTTGGACTGAAATTAAATGGGCCACATCAGGTGCTGGTCTATGCTGATAATGTGAAACTACTGGGAGATAACATAGATACCATAAAGAAAAACACAAACTTTAACTGATGCTAGTAAGGAGGTTGTTCTAAAAGTAAATGCAGATAAAACTAAGTATATGTTGCTGCCTCATCACCAGAATGCAGGGCAAAATCATGACATTCACATAGCCAACAGATCTTTTGAAAATGTGGTACAGTTCAAATATTTGATAATGACAGTAACAAATCAAAATTTGATTCAGTATGAAATTATGAGACTGAATTCAGGTAATTCTTGCTACCATTCAGTCCAGAACTTTTGTCTTCTCATCTGCTGCCTAAAAATATAAAAATCAGAATATACACAACTATAATTTCGCCTATGGTGTAGCACGAATGGGGGGGAGGACTACATATGAGTATGGGATATTGGTGGAAAAGCCAGAAGGAACAAGACCACTTGGAAGATCAGGACATAGGTAGGTGGATGATATTAAAATGGATCTTAGAGACAGGATAAGGTGGTGTGGACTGGATTAATCTGGCTCAGGATAGGGACCAGTGGAGGGCTCTTTTTAACATAGTAATGAGCCTTTGTGTTCCAAAAGATGACGGGAAGTTCTTCAATAGCTGCACAACTGGCTGCTTCTCAAGAAGGGTTCAGCTCTATGAAGTTAGATTTACAATTTCTCTCACCCATTTTAAAAGGTGTAGTAATACTGTGTTGAGGAAAAATACCTAATGATAAAAGATTTATTACACATACGATTCAAGGGTGAACTGATGTAAACAGAACTTATTTTAAGAACATTGTTCGAGAGTTCATCATATCCATGGGAATTTTTGAGCTTAAGAAATTTGATAATATTTTCAATTTCTTTTGTCGTTTACAATTTGAGATTTATATTAGGAGATGAATTATCAAATCATGTGATAAATAATGTATGAGATTATTATTATTCCCCTGACAGGTGTCTTCACCTTGTCGTGGTGGTGGGGCTTGCATAACTCTGTGACTTGGAGAGCTATGCCGGTGGTAGTTTAACTACCAGTAGTCACCCATGCCGGAAAGGTCAAAGGTTAGAGTCCAGGCTAAGAGAGATACCCTGGTCCTGTAGGTTGGGGGTTGGGCATGAGGCTAACAACTTCATCCTGTAAAAAGAATTTTGTTCAGAAACCTAACAACCAGCCTTGGATAAGTGGAACATATGGGAAACAGACTAAGCAACGGACAAGGAACAGTGATATTGTGATGGCAACTTGGAATGTACCTACAATGTTGCAATCTGGAGAGATGAAGGAAGTAGCCCAGGAAATGATACGTTAAAAGGAAGGTTATATTCCAAAAGAAGAAAAGGAAGACAGGATGAGATGGCTAGACGATGTTGGGAATTAGCTGAAGAAGATGAAGGTGAAAGGATGGATAGAGAAGATGAGGAACAGAGAGCAGTGGAGACTGGTTGTAGAGGAGGCCAAGGCTCACCCAGGGCTGGTGCGCCAAGTGGTAGGTATTATTGTTATTTTGTTTGTTTGTTTCCTTATATGAATGAAAGTGTTTTTCCTCCAGTGCTTACCTTTAATTAGTATCTTTGACTTTATGTTGTGTTTGTCCATTATGTAACTACTTTTATCTACACTGTACTGTGTCAGTAATGGGCCTTGTAGCTGTTGGCTCAGCACATAAATAATAAAGAACTGAATTATTATTTTTTTCATTTCATGCATCCTGTTGTGTTACAATATACAATTTCTTTATTAAAACCGTCACAACACAACAATATTAGGCAACGTCTACACGGGCGCACAAAATGCGTCTGTTTGCTGAGGACACCACACAGTTGCAGAATGCGGTGCGTAGTATTTTGTCTGCAATGAAACTAAAGTATGTTCATTACAACGGATGCATTTTGTGCGCTCATGTAGACGCTGCCTTAAGGTCAGAGCCAAACTAGGCTCTGACCTTAATATAGTTGTGTTGTAACGGTTCTAATAAAGAAATTGTGAATTATTATTGTTGTTGTTGACATACATTTTCTCGATCAATGAACCAAAATATTCATTAAATGTACTTTTAATAGCTTGCAGATTTTTAGTGGCTTCCCATCAACATTCTATATTTGTACATCTTCATTAATAGTTCTCTTTCCTGATTCAACTTTCACAATTTCTCAGGTGGTTTTAATTTTATTATTTGATTCTAGAATTTGGTTATTGTAATTATTATGTTTAGCTTCCTTAATGACTTTTGATAGTATTTTACGGCATATTTTGTATGACTTTTTAGTCTCAGATTATTACTGTCCCTATTGGCCAAGTATAGATATCTTTTATGTTACATGAGGTTTTTTTGTGCCCAGTGTTATCCATGTTTTGCTTTTAGTGTTATTTTTTTACCTTTTTTTAGAATAGAAGATCCTCAAATATGTATTTAGGGAGCAACTAAATTTAGAATTGATGTCTGCTATCAAATACAGCATCCCAAGCTTCATTACTTAATTCTGTGACAAAATCTGCCATCATATGCTTGTTGATTTGATACTGCTGATTACTGATCTGAAGATCAGTATTACTGATTTCGTTATATTTTAGCGTCCTGTTGCACTGACTCATGTCCACGATTTATGCTAACCGTCTTACAGTGCACACTGTATACAGTGTATGCACTGTAAGATGGTTAGCAGTGCACACTGTATACAGTGTATGCACTGTAAGACGGTTAGCATAAATCATGGACATTACTGATTTCTGCAAGTTGTGTCTCATGGTCAGATAAGCCATTTATAAAAGGTCCTATGTTATAAATTCCTATTTTGAGTTATTAACGAATATATTATCTACTGCTGATCTATAGTTGCTCTGAACTCTTGTAGGAAAATTAACGGTACTACAAAGATCATATGGTGATGATCACCAATAATTTCATCCATACATCGATTTAACTTTTGAGAGAAGGATATTGCATAAAATTTTGTACAAAGTTATGAGCAGTTATATCCATGACAATTACTATAGTCAGTTTTATCACCCTTCTTGTGTATTGGTACAATAATACTCCTTCCACTGATCAGGAAATTCTTCCTTATTCCAATTAGAATTAATTAGCTTATGGATCTTACAAGATAATATTTCACCTCATGCTTGAATCAGTTCTGCCAGAAGTTGATCACTACCTGGTAAATTATACCGCTTCAACTCTCCAATAGTGATTTCAAATTCAAAAGGGCTAGGATGAGGTTCTAACAGCTCAGCTCTTATGTATTCCGTCTGCCTAACATGACTGACGCTTGGTACATTCAATAACTGAGAGAAGTAGTTCTTCCACTTATTCAAAATGTTGTGGGAATCTGCATGATCACCATTCTCATCCTTCAGTAAGTTACTTCTAGGTTCATAAACCCTCTTAAATTTATTTATTGCTATATACTGGTGTGGGATGTGTATATTTATACACAATAACATTCATTGTACTATAAAAAGTGGCTACTGCTATTATAGTGACTAAAAAAGGTATATAAAGTAAGTAAAGATATCCCTATAACAAGCTGTGAAGGCCCATAGGGTTGTGAGACGTTGAGGGTCCCACATCATCTAGACAATCGGCTCAGAGATGGCGGTAAGGTTGTCAGCCTTACGTGCCGGCCACAGTTTACTCCCCAGGAAAATTATTTAATTAATTCCTGGTACTCATTTCTGTTAGAGATTGAGTCAACCCCAGGCAAATAGTGCAGCTGGAAGGATTAGGTCAACCGAAAAATCCAATGACCTCGTTGGGAATCGAACCCGCGCCCTTCCAGCTTGTAGCATAATGCCTCAACCAACTACGCTACCGTATGCCCCCGCTATAATAGTGACTACAGTGAAAAACTGATGTAGTAGAGAAAATTCTCATTCTTGTGTAGATCCTCAAAATTCTTCATATTTCCTATCTTGATCTCACCTGAAACTGAAATTGTCATTCCTGCATATGCCTACTGTTCATTATTCTATTCATTAAAATCACATATGAATCACTGTACTATTGCTTGTATTAAAGCAAATGTATAACTATTATTAATATTTCAGTGAAATTTCCTAAAACACAGTCTTTAATTTGTTCTATATTGATACTATATAATGACGGCCAACTGTTACTTGGATTACAAGAACAAATGCTATTTGCTGCATGATAACCAAAATTTCCAACCACAGGTATCCAACACTGGGAGTCTTTAGGAAGCAGGCAATCTTGGAGAATGACAAGGAAAGCTTCAAGTATCACGTGACTGTATACCTATGAGGGAGAGTCAGTAAACAGGTCACAAATTAATATAAAACATGTGATATTTGAACCTGGGAAAAACATTTATTTCTTGACATATCCTCCATCAACACTGGCACGCTTGTTCCATCAGTTTACCAGTGTGTCAAAAGTTGCAGCATAAAAGTCTTTTAACTGTTGTGTCAGTCACTTCTGCACCTCTGTTTCAACCTCTTTGTCACTGGCAATGTGGTTGAACCGCTTTACACACAAAAAAAAAAACTTTCCACTGTAAACAGGAAACGTTCCTTTATGAGTATCCTTTGCATTGAGACCTTTTGCCCATAAAAAACGAACAACGCTGCTCTTCCGTAGTATAATTCTCAAGCATGGTCACCATTTTGACTATTAAAACCAGCATCTGAACATGCCCATGCGTATCTGCAATCTAGACTTTTTTATTGTGAAAAATAATTGTAAATACAAAAAAGGCCTAGGCAATGCCCATGTGGCCTGCTACCTAGACTGGCATGAAGCTGGACTGTGCTGCTACCTAGTTACCAGAAAATCTATTACTTGAACTATTTATATGTACATGTGATACTAGCGTACAAACTAGCTTTGGTATTTCATTTTTCTGTATTTGCAGCTGGTGAAGTTCATGAGGAATAATATATTTTTTATGCTCTTGCTGAGTAACAATACTGTTCTCTTATTAATAATGCAACTGGACCCCTACACAGTAATACCCACTTCCCCCAGGATGTCTGACAGACGGCTCAGATGGGTGTTGATGGCCCCATAGTTGGGTTCTGCCTGGCTCCGGTTCACAAGCTGGAATGCATTCATGTATTCAAGCTCTGAGAACTGTGGTCCATTCTCCATCACCCCACTCAGTATCTCCTGTAACAACACATGTTATCACTATACTTACTGTTTGTGTGGTGCACTTTAGAGTTCTGTAAAGCTGCACCTCATAGGAAATAATTAATACCTGTGAGTTTATACCATGTCGCCACATGGGAAATTAAAATCTCAAAACCAAATATATCGTGTGGACACTTGGTTGTTAGTTTCCACTTTCACGAAAAATGCACTCTAATAAAAGTTGCATACTTTTCAGTTAGCACAAAAAAAAAAACTGCAGTACCATACACTGAAGAGTACGAGTGCTGTACACAGAATGAGAATTTGTTGTTACTTCTTCACAAGTCCACATGGCCACCATGTTGGTAATACTGGGAGTAAAAAAAAAAGTCATGATAATGACATTTCCACTGATATGATATTCATGCAACATTTTGCATCTGTTGATCAATAATACTGATGGACAGATGGCACATCCATCTTAGCAGGTTCCTATGACTTGGGTGTAAATTATTGGAAAGAATGTGGAAAGAAATGGCCATAGCCTAAATTTAGGTACTATTCCAAAGTTTTTTCAGATGAAAAATGCGAACCTCAGTCATGGTAGTTAAGTGTTCCACTAAGATTCAAAATAGGCTGCGCCATAGCTCAAGCGGTTAGTCACTGGCTTCCCACCGTGGTGGCCCAGGTTCGATCCCGGGTCTGGTCAAGTGGGATTTGTGGTGGACAAAGTGGTGCTGGAGCAGGTTTTCTCAGAGTACTTTGGTTTCCCCTACCAGTCTTCATTACACCAATTGCTCCACAATCACCCTCACCTATCATCTGGGGCTGGTATAATAGGCCACAAGTGGCCACAGTACAAGGGACTTAATCCCCCCCGGTGGGAAACCAGCGACTAACCGCTTGAGCTATGGCGCGGCCCATAAACTCAAGTTAAATTACTTTCATGTTAAGATTTTTGTCAGTTTAGTGCTCAAATCCTTTGGTTCCTAAAAGAAGCCTCAAAGAAAGTTCCTACCCTATATATCTGTGAAATCGCAGTAAACTGGGTCCCATCACTAGAATTAGGGCAAATATAAGCACATTTCAGGTAGTGTCATGCCAGATGGTTGATAAGGTCCTTCACTATGTGTGTCAAAATACAGGTGACATTACCTGATTATGTCATACACCAGTACCTGAAGAACTTCTGTCAAAAACAGCAAGCAAATGCTCAGTGGACTTGAATCTTAGTTGATCTGAGTTATCAAGTGAGGTGGTCTGTCCAAAAAGAAATGGACAACCCTGATGCATCTGTAACTTAGCCCTTCCAACTTTTTTTCATGAAAGTCCTATTACCAAAATGTAAGTGAAACACAAACATGGAAATCTTCATATGAAGTCTACATTACATAATGCAAAAACTACAATTCAGTACTGAGGGATAATGAATTGCAGGCCTAACAGATTGTACTTATTTTGAACTTCAAAACCAAAAGTACATTTCAGATATGGAGCAGTAATGTATCTGTTCTCCTTGACCTCTTTTCTGTCAATTATAAGCAATGAACTCACAGCCCCTGAATCAGTAAATCCTTTGTAAGATCACTGGCAAATATTTAAATTTTTTTTAGATTTACGTTGAAGCTCTGCTGTAGTATGAGCCAATGGTCACCCACACCAAACAGAGCTAGCAGGTCTGAAGTTTGTTACATCAAAAATGCATACTACTCTGTCCAAAAAGTATCCGACCTTGGGCCGGGAAAAAAAAAAAGTTCTGTATCTGGGTGGTTACAATACCTAATCGCCTTCCAAGGAGGCCCCTTGTGACTCCACACACTTAGTCCAGCGGTCCTTCCATTGCTGGAAGCAATTCTGGAAGGCTTCTTTTGGAATAGCGTGCAGCTGCACCGTCGCGTTCCGTATGATGTCCTTGCGGCTGTCAAAACGGCAGCCTTTTAGCTGTGTCTTCAATCTCGGGAACAGCCAGAAATCACAAGGAGCCATGTCAGGAGAGTAGGGAGCCTGGCGAACCTGCGGAATGCTGTGCTTGGCCAGGAAACCCTGTATCAGGTGTGATGAATGAGCTGGGGCGTTGTCATGATGCAGCTGCTAGTAGCGTGCATCCCACAGCTCCAGTCTCTTGCGCCGAACTGCATCATGAGGATGGCGCAGGACTTCTTGGTAGTACTCCTTATTAACAGTCTGGCCTAGTGGTGCGTACTCATGATGCACAACACCCCGGTAATCGCAAAAATCAGTCAGTATCACCTTCACATTGCTCCGAACCTGTCGTGCTCTTTTGGGCCTCGACGATGTTGGACCTTGGTTTCCGGGTCATATCCGTATACCCACGACTCGTCACCAGTGATCACAGTCTTCAGGAACTCAGGATCCCTGTTGGCACACTCTAGCATGTCCTGCGCGACCTCAAGGTGGAGTTGTTGCTGCTCCGGTGAAAGCAGCTTGGGCACAAATTTTGCTGCCACTCTTCACATGCCCAAATCCTCAGTTAAAATTGTGTTTGCGGAACTTCTGCTGGTCCCAACCTCATCAGCAACTTCATGGATGGCCAAATGATGGTCCTCCATGACCAGTGTCCGCAGTTTTTCAATGTCATCAGCATTTTGGCTCGTTGACGGTCTCCCGGAATGCTGCTCACTGTCCGCCGACATACGGCCATGTTTAAAGCGATTGAACCACTCTTTAATTTGAGTGACCCCCATTGCATCATTGCTGAAAGCCTGCTGAATTTTGCGAATTGTTTCCACATGGGTATCCCCAAGTTTCTGACAAAAACTTAATGCAGTATCGCTGCTCCAAGTATTCTGTCATCTTGAGCAAAATGAGAATGCGACGAACACGTGTTACACCACTTCGCTCTCTGGCAGCCACAGACGCATGCGGCAGTGTTGCGAGTCAGCAAAAAATTACGCATGCTCATGAAAGTCCTTTCTACCACTATGCTCAGTTTCCCCACCGCTTTGGTCATTACTTACAGAGGAAAAAAATTAAGTCGGATACTTTTTGGACATATGGTATAAGAAATTTACAGATGAAATGGTCTTAATATGATGCCACTGGGTACAATGGCCAACAGAAATATATTTTTAAAAGATTCATAGTGGGTATTTTTGAATGATAGAGGTTAATTGGCTAAGGGAAAAGATGAAGCTTGGCTTTTTTATGGATGTGGAGATGAACCTTCAGTTTCCCAGCAGAATGTCTGTCCTTGTTGCTTCCAGTTACAGTCTTCTAACAGTCACTGCATAAAGTGAGGTAATGGGCAGCACATAACATGCAATTCAAATATAGTGAGAATGATATACAAAAGGGAGTAAGGGCAGACATACACTTAAAAATTAATATACAGCAGCAGAATGAGAATACTTGACAATTTTCAAAGATGACCCATTCTGGGGGTGTGATATCCCACACACAAGGATTTGACCTTTTTCTGAGGTGAGACACAGTGAAAGAAAGAATGAAAAATCTAGTTGGAGCCACCTTATGTTAAACCAGAGATCCCTAGTATAGAAATCCAGCAACTTACCCCCAAAACACAAGGTTCCATGATTTTCTAGAACGTAGAACAAATATATTGTAATGCATTTCAGGTAGACTGGGCAATAACCCCACAATGGAGCAAGCATCTTTGTTGGTAGTTGACACTCGTGTATATGTTTGAAGAAATACCTATTCTATTTATGTGGTGCAATCCAAAAGTTCCCGAAAACTGAATTTTGTGCGTGAATGGTTGAGTACGTCGAAATACCGCTAGGTGTCTTCCCACACACCCTTCTTGAATCAGTGTGGCAAGCAGCATCGAGTTGAGTGGTTGGGTTTATTGTTGGTGAACATATTTCCATTGTTGTGTTTCCATGAGTTTGCGATTTTGCGATGGCTGACCTGAGAGAGCAGCGTGTCTGTATAAAGTTTTGTTTTAAACTTAGGAAAACCGTTGCAGAAATGCACCAAATGTTGAAGCAAGCTTTTGGTGACAACAGTTTAGGCCAGACACAAACTAACGACTGGTATAAGCTGAACATCGACTGATGATGATGATCGTTCGAGATGGGCATCAACTGGCACCACACCAGAAAATGTCGCAAAAGTTAGGGATCTGATTCTGCAAGATCGTAGACTGACCATCCAAGAACTCTGTAACACCTTGGGACTAAGTTGTGGTATATGTCAATGTATTTTGTCAGAGGAACTGAACATGGGGAGGATTGCGGCGAAGTTTGCGCCACGACTGCTGCAAAATGAACAGAAGCAGCATCGCATGGAAGTCTGTAGGGAACTTCAACAACAGCTTCAAGAGGATCCAAACTTTCTTTCGCAGGTTGTCACTGGTGACGAAAGTCGGGTTTATGGCTACAACCCTGAAAGTAAGCAGCAATCATTGCAATGGAAGAGCCCTTCTTCACCTCAGCCAAAAAACGGTTGAAAAGTCAAGAGCAACATTAAGTCCATGTTGATGTGTACTTTTGATACTGACAGGATTGTTCATTAGGAGTTCGTCCTTCCTGGTCAGACATTCAATAAAGAGTTCTATCGCGATGTTCTAAGGCATTTGAGGGAGGACATCTGGAGAAAACGTCCAGAGAAGCTGCTCACGAATGACTGGGTACTCCACAATGACAACGCATTACTGCATACAGCTTACATTGTGCAGGAATTTTTGGCTAAAAACAAGATGGCAATTGTTCCCCACCCACCGCACTTGCCAGACTTAGCTCCATGCGACTTCTTTCTCTTCCCCAAGATGAAAATCAAGTTGAAGGGGCGAAGATTTGATACAGTTGAGGAAATTCAAGTGGAAACACAGACGGTACTAAACACCCTAACAAAGAAAGACTTCCAGGATGCATTTGAAAAGTGGTAGAAATGCTGGGATTGGTGTATGCCCTCCCAAGGGGACTACTTTGAAGGTGATGGTGCAGAATAAGATCCAGGTAAGACATAATAGTTTTTATTAACATATTTCGGGAACTTCTGGATTTCACCACATACATAGCACACTGCGAAACACTTTTGAGTGCTTTGGTTTCTCCTTGCCATTCAGCATTCACGAATGCTCCTTTTATATAACAGCATACTGAAGATGTATGACGGGTACAAACCAGCCAGCCAGCATGTATCAAAACTTGGTCCTTGTGGCTTCACTTGGCTTGACTCAAAGTAAATTAACTAACCTCTGGTGCAAGGTAGAACAACTCAAAGTAGTGGCGTGCATGGTCCAATGCAATCTCACGAGCCATTGTTATGTTGGTCAATGTCTGTTGCAAAGCAAAGATGTTACGACACATCTTCTGGATGCCCCGCTCATCAATACGGTCAATGTATTGAGCAGAGCTGATCAGGATCTTTGCGATGAGATGGCCCAGGCCTTCAACTATATACTGCAAGTACAGGAAAACAGTCGTTCACACATATACAGGCCTGATGGCCCTGATTGAGCCTTAATTCAGTAATATGTAAACTATGCATCAGGTATGCCAATCTTCTTCTTGTTCAGCCACATACATTTTGTTTTTGAGAGCTAACACACAAAGGACACTTTAGTACACTCTTTCTTTTCCATTTGTATATACAGTTTAAACCATATTCTTTTTTGTTCTTCCACTTCATAATACAAGCAGTTTCAATTTAATCATATTTCGCTTAATTATGTCAACAGAAAAGAACAAGAAAAGCTGAAATTCAAAACTAGTTTATTAGGGAAGGACTAGAAAGTATACACAATGTTGGTAAAATGGAAGTAACAGTGGCATGGAAATGTGTTACATGTGAATGGAAATGAAGGTGAAAGCATGAACCTACTGAAGCATCAGTCACTGAGAAAGCTAAGAATACAGTGGAGAGCCATAGTGAGGATGATGTACAAAACACAGCAGGGAAAATGTGGACACAGATTTTGAAGGGCTACATAGTGGGGGAGGAGAAGATTGAAAATTTTTCACAGGTGATGATGGTGCAGTCGTGATGTCAGCAGCAGTGGTGACGCTGATGCTGAATGATGGAGCTGAGCCCTTCTGGAGGAGCTGGCAATTCTGCAGCTACTCAAGAATATCCCAGCATTTTATGGAACCTGAAGGTTTATTACCATGTTCACAAGAGCCCTCCACTGGTCCCTGTCCTGAGCCAGATCAATCCAATCCATACCATCCCATCCTATCTCTCTAAGATCTATTTTAATACTGTCCACCAACCTATGCCTGCTGAATGATACCAAATATAATTTATTAAATACAACTGGTGATACTCAAAATAAAGATAAATTACATTAAATTATATACAATTTAAACTGGGATTATAATGTACAATTATGATACACAAACCATACAGGGAAGGAAGCACAATCCTTCAACAAGAAAAGATAGAAGCCAACAACAAGCTTAGCAGCCAAGAGACAAGACTTAAAGACTGGAAACATGACACATGGACATGGATTGGAGTGAAGTGGATCAGGGGTTGAGTGTAATGATGCTCTGATTTCACAACACTGGGGGTTTTTTAATTTGTGAAACATTATCAGCATACTGTTAAGATGGTAGCACTGATGGACAAACCCTTTCGGATTCTCAAGGTGTCTGTTGAGTTATGCATACCTTCAATTTGCGGGGCTGTAAACTTGAGTTCATGGCCTCATCGATGCTGACAAGAACACGACTTAGTTCCAGGACCTTTGGGTCTGGCTCCTGGGAGTCCACCCCACCCACTAGACGGTTGTAATTGTTGGCTTGGGGCAGCAAATAGTGGAAACACTGTACTCGCACCTATGGCAGGAGAAGACTTTACAGTGCTGTGCTTTGATGTCAGCTTGGGTCTTCTCAGACATTTCATTTTTACTTCAGGCCGCAGGGAAGGAAGAATTTGCCAGACTAATATCACCAAAAAAAGGGATGGTCAGAGAGCATTAATATTAATTAAAATATGTTCTATCAGGTAAACTGCAGATTGCACCCTTGTTGATCATAAAAGAAAGGAATGAATATGACACACAGATGCCAGAAAGAATATGTTCAAAAATGAACTCTCACAGGGCACTTCCAAAAAAAGTATAAAATATGAACCCTGAGAAAAAGGACCATTAACAATGATGATTAAGATGCTTCCCCACCTTCCACAACCCCTGCTAGGTCCAGGCACAAGCAAGCACCCATTTGTCTAACATTCCTCTCTGGTCATCTGCTTCTTTTATATTCAACAATACAAAATGGAAGATACAGGTATCTTTCTCATTTGTGTCAACAAGCAGCTCACCAAAAGGTGTAGCATGAACATAAAAAGTTCTGGCAAGCTCTATGAGATGACAAGCATAACGCAAGTCTGTACTTGTTACAGCCATGTACCTCACCTCAAGGTGTAGCACCAACAAACATGTGTTGGCAAGCTCTTCAAACTCCTGAGCTAGTTGCATTAGAGCCTTAACTGAGGACTCTGGCATGGCTGGAATTCCTTCAGAGCTGACCTGTATACCCGGAGATGTGGCAGAAGCTCTGGGCAGCTCTGATGCAAACAGCAGGATGGATGTTGAGAACCATTCCTGCAGCAAAGATACTGTCAGGAGTACATGACAAGTGCACACAGATTTGCATGATGCACATGCACTAAATGAGGGACGACAAACCTTTTTAAGACATGTTGAAACTTACGAGGAAATGTTTCTGCCCTAGTTCTGTAGGTCCACAACTTTTGGTGAACTTCGTAAATTTTTGTAATTCCATGATGTCATAGTGTATCTCAGTATACTATCATTTACCAAGTTAATGAGAAGTTGGCTGTCGAATCTAAGCTGCTAATGCTGTTATACCTGACACATAACTGTCCCTTTTCAAATCTGCATGAGGATCATGATTAACTATATCTAAAATTGGATTTCGCATAATTCATGATAGAAAATAAAACTTTCGTTGAGTGCATGTAGATGAAAAAATTGTGAACAATGAAAATGCAAATATTTCAGAGTACAAAATCCTGTTGGCACAGTGTTCCAAGCTTTTGTCATTTTATCTTTAAGTCTGTTTCAGGTGCAGGCCCTTCCAAACATTTATACTATTTCTTCAGTGCACTGTCTTAGTTTGACAAGCTTTTTACATCAAATTAAGCTAGTATGAAATTTAATTAATTACATTTCTAAGTCACTTAAATCAGTTTTAGCTTCAAGTTCTCCAATTGTACAGCATCAGGATACTTCCGTATTTCACTTTAGATGCCTGAAGCACGAAAATCTTGAATAAAACCATTCTTCTGTTGCAGTAATGTTTGCGGAAGCTTTTAAATACTGCATCTCTGGTTCCTTCTCCATTGAATTGCCTATTTAGATGAGAAGAAACTTTGGTGCATAACCATTTGCATCATGTGGTTATACTCTGAGCTTCTTTTCAAGTGCTGTATGATACTGAAAACAACATAAATTGGCTTCCTAAACCCACAATTCTAAATTTAACTCATTCAGAAAGAGGATCCAAGTTAGTGATGAATATTCATGTGAAATATAACCACATATTTTCTAAGTGTGCAGAGCATTACTTTTCTTCTTCAAAAAAGTTTTATTTCATTCAGACTCTCCGTAAATCAATCAAGCACATGCCCATGACAAAGCCAACAATCATTATTGTACATGAACCACAATATATGGACTCAATATCTTTAAAACAAAACTTTTATTTAAAGTAAAGCATGAAGTTAGTTGGTTTAGTGGCAATCTGACCACATTCAGCTCACCTTGCCATGCGAAAAATGAAATGAAAAATACAGTGGAATGACTGATGCGTTTTGTGAATTATGCTACAAATGTTTCTTTACTAGCCACACTAGGAATGCCATCATTGGAAATAACTATTTGAGAACCTGAAAACATTTCCACCGCAACACCCCAAATATCTAACCCAGCTGTTCCACAGGAAACAGCCAACTTAATTTTCCAGGGCCAGTCTTGAAGGTGAAGCTTCTTGTCATGTTCATGGACTCTTGGTGTGCCATGATGTCATTTTTTTTTATAAATGATACTTCTACAACATGTTTCATCCTTACAAGGCCATCATCAGGTAGATACTTTTATGAAACTGCTGCAGTGTATTTCTTTTCCTAGTTCACTGGCCTAAAAATTGGTTAAAGACAATTCCAATTATTACTTAATTTTGTTGAAACATAGTTTTCTATTTTTTTTCAGCTGGTAGTTCCCCCCCCCCCTCGTTGGTGTCTCCACCTTATCGTGGTGAGGGGGTTTGAGTATGCCAAGGACCCTGAGAGCTATACCAGCGGTAGCGTAGCTACTGGCAGGGCCTCCCTTGCTGGACAGGTCAAAGGGTAGGCATCAGACGAAGAGAGACACCAAAAACTGATGCCGGAAGCAGCGTCATCAGCAGCGACTTGAAGCACAGAGCAAATGATGCTCGAGATGGTTCAAGTTCGTATAGCAACAGGCGTGACCAGAGTGGTTTGAACGGCTGCTGTACTGCGATGTGGAAAGCAAATGGAAAAACTACCACATTATCACTTTTCCTGGATAGTCTCTTTCCAAAAACAGAAGATCGCATTAAGTGGAGGAACTGTTTTGGAAGAGACTGTGGACCTGTCGTCTGACAGATTACTGATGGATGGATGGATGGTACTTCCTGTTTCTGTATTCTGTGATTTCTTGGGATATGTGTGAGATCTTGTTACAGTGTATACAGTGGCTGTGTTGTGTTTGAGATCTATATCTCTGTACAACATAGTATTGTCTGACTTCATCACAACCACTCACCATCTACTTAAGTCACACAATACTATGTCGTACAGAACATTAATCGCTAACCATCCACAATCTATGGAAGTCGCGCAATACTACATCATACAGAATATAGACCTCAAACATCCAGAAACATGAATTAAAAACTGAAAAAAAAAAGAATATGTTTTAATAAAACTCAACAAATGGAATTAGTTTTAAAAGTTCTGGGAAGAATTAAGTGCCTACTTCCTTTGATATGACATGGACCACATATGGATCAATGCCTGCAACAATTTTTTGTCTCATGGACACTGAGTCACACATTCAAAAGTTAATAGGGGTGATGGACGGATGAACGAAAAAATGAATGAACACAAATGAACGAACGAACAAACACGAATATGAATGAACACACACACAGCATGAAGACTGCATAAGCCTACTTTAGGAAAGTACGCTAAAAAGTGACAATGTAGTACACCTATAGTCTATGAGCACAACAAGAAGTTATATTAAATTAAATCATTAACTAGTGCAACAGCATGCCAAAGTATAATATTATGAGATGTAGCTAATGAGTTATTCAGAGACTTCATTATGTTTCACAAACTCAATCCTGATGGCTAACAAACTGTCACATGTCCAGGGTTCCATCACTAATAATAACAGGTTCTGGATTGGATGGTTGCATTTATTGACACTTCTGTTACAACCATAATGTGTGTTGTTACACGCAAACAGAATACTCATTACATCAACCCCTAACAACGGAGACAAACACTGCCTGTGAAATGACAAGACACCAACTCCACAGTGCAAAGTGACAGAATTAATCATCCAAAAAGACGCCCTTGTGAAAGCTTCAATTCATATACTGTGATGTCTAATTTTGTGATGCTGTTTAACAGATGAAGATCTATAACCCACACCTTCAGAACAGAGAATTTATAACGATTTTCTATTTATATCAATAATACAATATTTTCCTTTCACCACCCTTGCAATTATTTGCTACTCATTTGCACCTTTACACACTTGCAGAACTCTGAAAAAACTCAGAACAAATCCTCTACAAGACAGAACATTCTCTTGTAAAATTCAGAAGTCAGGAAACAGCTGACTGCAACTCATGATTTGAATGATGGAAGACACACAGAAACATTTGTGGCAAACAAAACCAAACTCCATGATTTCAGTTTGTGGTAGAGCTATGTGTTGTTGCCAAGTGAATGACTGCAGTTCTGCAAACAGAAATATCCATTTCTTTCTTACATCATGATCTTCATGGACTGATCTGTCCCCTTGAAGACTATGCTGGTTCCTTAACTGTGGGTTTTATATTAACATTTTCTTCAAAATTCATCTGTCTTCCATTCATAGAACCTGGTATTTCCATTGTAATCCAGATTTTAGAATTTCATTATTTAGATTACAAATGTTCAGTTCTTCCATAATTTTAGTATTTCTTATTTGGTGCTTCCTTGTGTAAACTCCTACACTCCTCAAAAATTTCATCTCTGCAATTTCAATTTATGCTTCCTCTCGTTTTTGTTTTAGTTCAAATTTCAGATCCATATGTAAGCATAGGTACTGCGATGGTTTTATAAAACTTTATATGCGTATCTTTTCTCATCTTGTCAGGCACAATAGATCACTGTAGGCCATGGCACAAGGCCCAAGAAGGCCCACCCCTTACACATTTCTCATCTTGTTACTCAATGTTCATCCTGTTGTGTGTTAGTGTAATTGTATATCGCGAGTAACTAAAACCATTTACTTGTTCAATTATGTCTTATTACTGTTTTAGTTTAAACATTTTCATTCTCACATATGTAAATTAAAGTTCTTTCAGTAATTCAGTTATATTATATATTTTATCAAAATATTTCTTCAAAACAGAATTTTGCCATATTGTATTTAAGCATCCTGTTGCATTTCTATAACATTCACATAGGATATTTATACTGTAGTTCTGTCAACAATGCAACCACTTTATTCCTTAATGTTTTCACTTCTTACAATAAGTTTCAGTCCCAACCGGCCATCACCAGGTACTTCAATTCACCAAAACTGTTACCTGCATTGAATATCGGTCATACATTTCATGTATAACTGAATTGTTCCATATTAATGTTGCCATTATGATCCAGTTAACATCAGTCAACCCACCATACACTGTAGTCACTTTCTATTGCAATTAACTAAATTTTCATTAACATTTGTAAATTCAATTTTTTTTTTTTTAATTTTAATTATTCTTCTTAAATTTTGTACACTTCCAGCACCTCTCTAGGGCATCATCCACTTTTCCAAACAGTATACATTTCAACCCTCCTTGTAACATCTACTACAGTGAGGACAACAACATACGCTGGTGGAGTAAATGATGTATAGACAGGGGCAAACGTAACAGCAACAACAGGCTTGCACATTGAAACAAGAGGACGCCGAAACAAAAACGAGGACAGCCGAAATGTATACTGCTTGGAAAAGTGGCTGACGCCTTAGAGGGATGTTGAAAGTGTACAAAATTTTAAGAAAAATAATTAAAATTTGAATTGAATTTTAAAAATTTTAATTAAATTCAGTTAATTGCATAGAGAGTGAGTCACATTGTATGGTGCATTGACTAATGTTAGCTGGACCGTAACAGCAACATTAATATGGAACAATGCAGTTATACATGAAATGCATGACCGATATTCTATGCAGGTAACAGTTTTGGTGAATTGACATACCTGATGATGGCTGGTTGGGGCCGAAACATGTTGTAAAAAGTGAAAATTCCAAGGAATAGAGTGGCTGCATTGTTGATGGAAGTGTGGTATAAATATTTTATTAGAATTTTGCATGCTGAGTAGTGCCACTTTGTCCACCATAAATCCCACACTGACTATCCTGTGATGTACCTAGGTCTCCACAGTGAGAAAGTGGCCACTACCTACTTGGGATATAACACAGCCATGGTGCTCACAGCCTAGAATGATGCATGTGCACCAGACTAAGGAGTGCACAGTAGTGCATAATGCACATTACATAAAACTGTAGTGTATACAGCTCTAATGACATGCATATGGGCCATATGGTAGTGCACATTGCTCTGCATGATGTACGTGCATCAAGGTAGCTAAACTTACCATGCTCTCCTGAAGTTGTGCCAATCCCTTCAGCTGCCCTACGTCTGACAAAATCTCATGTGCACTGATTCCGCCTTCTCCTAGGTTGGTAGCCAGTATCTCTGCCTCTCTCATGTTGCGCTGCCGAATATCCTCTGGGCTCTCCTCCTCAGTGGTCTCCTCACGTCGCAATGGTCGGCGTCTATGGTGTGTCATTTTCTGTGCTTGCAGATCTGTCCAGTTTGGCAATGACCTGTGAACATTATGAGAGGTAGATTCTCATAGTGAGGGGGATTTACTAGTTCCATCTCTTGGAAGGTTACGCAAACACTTCAATTAAATATACTGTTTGACCACATGTCTGCATATAATTAAACCACAGTTATTGCCTCTTAAGGGAATGGCATCCGAAGTGTTATGCAAGGTGATCTGTGATCAGCGGTAAGTGGATTTGGAAGAGTAATGCCATGAAGCACTACAACTGAAATGGAGGCAATAATCCACAGGGATTTAGATCTTGCTACTAGATGGATGTGGGCAATCAACTTTACACTCTGACCACTGGGGAAGAGTCCTTGGTACCCACTTGCTACAAGGCTGGATGGGTCTTGGTGCAGTTTTTGACACACTGTTCTTGGAGAGAAAAATCCTGCAATAGCCAAGATGCCAAGATCTGAATTGCTGCTGTCCAGCCTGTGGCCAGTCAGTTCACCACCACAGTGTATAGCAATATAATGTTTCTTTCAGATTTCAACTTGTCACCTGTTAGTGCCCCACAGAGCAATGTGATGAACCCGACTAACTTACTTGATGAAACGGCTGATGTCTTCATCTTTGAGCCAGGCAGCACTGCAGATGCGCTTGTCCTCAGACTCGGGCTGCACAATGCCACGATATGCAGCTTGGCATGTTTCACGATAATTGTGCAAGATGTTGCAGATGATAGACAGGAAGTGTTCTGCATATGCTGGCAATGCTTGCATCAGCTCTCGCAGATCCTGTATGCAGCGCTCCACTGTAACTGTGCTCTGTGGCAAAATTAAGTGCATTTCAGCAGGTTTCTTGGTTTATTTAATGATACTTCAATTTAAATTCCCTCCAACTGACTGACTGACCAAACCAACCAACCAAATAAAAAATAACTCAACACAGTAGAATCTTTCATGAGAAGTCAGCATTCGTACAGCTACTTGTGAAATTTCCAGCTGTTTATGAGACCCAAAGGTTCATTATCAATTTCACAAGAACCCACCAGTCAATCATATGCTGAGGTAATTCAATCCACTCTATGCGCTCACATCCCATTTCACAAATATTATCTTGCCATCTATGGCTAGATCTCCCAAGTAGTCACATCCTTTCAGGCTTTCAACAAATATTTTGTATACATTTTACATATCTCCAATGTATGCTACAAGCTAAATTATGTTCAATTAATTTCCTGTATATTTCATCACTTACTACTTGCACAGTGCACTTTAAGGTACTGAAGGAACAGACACTATAGGCTGCAGAAACAGGAATAATAATAGTAGACGAATTTCAAGTGCATCACTATATAAATTTCATAACTGAAGTACAAATGATTCATAAGTTATCAACACCAAATTATTTTGTGTCATCATTTAGTTATTTTCCATCTTCCTATATAATAATGTGGCATAATGACTCAATGCAGGAACTGTTGAGCCACAGATGCCTCGGGGCACGTGCACAGTGTGAGAGTTGTGGATTGTATCAGCACATTGCTAGGTGACAACTCTGTGAACGCTTGGATTGCGCAACAGGAAGTGTGAGTGACATCACATATCCCAACTCATCCTGTAACTATATAACACTCGGTAAACACCCCTCCCTGCTAGGCTGTGATGTCACGCAACAGGGGAGGGGTGTTTCCTGAGCATTGCGTAGTTATGGGATGAGTGGGGATATGTGACACAACTCTCACTTCCTGTTGCGCAATCCAAGCGTTCACAGAGTTGTCACCTAGCAATGCGCTGATACCATCCTCAACTCTCACGGTGCGTGCATGCCCCGAGGCCTCTGTGGCTCAACAGTTCCTGCATGGACCAAATACGTCACAATAACCTTAATTAATATTGCACACTAGTCCATTATCTCTCAACATGCAAACTTCAAACCCCTATATTGAATGTTTCTCTACATAGAACTATTCCCACTTCAGGTGTTCATTTGACTGTCATGTTGTTATTTTTGTTGTCTATGATTACAGCAGAGGAATCTTCTCCTTCACAATCAAAAAACCCAGAAGCAAAGTGGGAGATATGACATATGGCTGAGATACCTGCAGAAGTGGTCGGGACAAGCCAAGACCCCTCATGAGCTCAGGGTTTGTTATGGCCCGCCACGCATCCACAGACTTGGTGGCACTCTCGATGCTGGCAGCTACCATCATGTGGTGGCGACCCAGGAACACTTCCTTAATATAGTCTGCCAAGAATGCATTCAGTGTGCATGGACTTCCTGGTGTGCAGCCAATAGCATGTTCTATCTCCTCAATGAACTTCATAAGGGGGATAAAGATCTGAGTAATGTTGCGTGGATCTGGGGAGCACACCAGTAACTTCTCTCGCTGCTGTGGCTGCCCCGTCTCATTATATTCCTATCAACATAACAATCAACATCAACTGTTGTTTAATAAATACTTCCTAATCTCAACAATCCACTGAACCAACAATTCCAACACATCTACACATCTTCCAGTCTGTAGTTCAGCCTGGGCAGTTCAGGGTGGCAACCTGCCTCTTTACTGAGTGCTGGGTTCCAACCCTTACTCTTCTTTCAAAGATAGTGATACCAAACACAGCCAACATAACCCAAGGGCAAGGGGGATTGTGAGGATTTGTGTTACAATTTTAGATATGGAATATGCCCCTCCAGAAATTAAAAAAGATTATGTATTATAAAAGACAGAATTGAAATTGATTGCACTAGCATTAACTTTACCTTAATTACTTTGTTAGAAATGAGCACATGGTAGCATAGTTGGTTGGGGCACCATGCTACAAGCTGGAAAGTCGCAGCTTTGATTCCCAATTAGGTTATCAGAGATTTTCAATTGACCCAATCCTTCCAGCTGCACTATGGCCTTGGGGTCAATGCAGCCTCTAACAGAAATGAGTACCATAAATCTTCCTGGGGGTGTGTCACCCAAATTATCTTCCTCATAACCAATTTGCATGAACTCAATAGAAAACACCATTTCCAACAGTAACTCTATTGTTGTGTGTGTATTTGTTGATGTGGGAATGTGTTTACCAATCTGTTGCCTAGAAGTGGCCATTGTTACTTGCCTATCCCACAATCATTGCATAGCAATGGTTGTACACGCTACAATATCTTATGGCAGTTTCTTCATATTTAATTATAAACCAAAAATTAGTTTTTAAGTCAAACATGAAGACATGTACCTTGGCGCTGGGACCTCGTTGTTCCTTCAGATAACTATTAATGCTGAGTGCATGGGATGAGTAGTCAAATTTGAATAATGGAGTTCTCTTCTGGCGAGGTGGACGACGACGAGCGAAGTATACTGAGATGTCACTTGTGGGTTCCGAGAACGATGCTGGAGCTTGCTGAGGATCCCCAGCTATGTTCTGGATGTCCAGATAGTCAGTCAGTAGGAGCTGCAGCTGTTGTACCAACACAGTGTTACCAAATGTACCACAACCTATGTCTTGTGTATATTACTTGTAGTGTTCTTGTACTCACCACAGCCTGCACTTTGGACCATACATCTGGCATCTCATACAGACGCACGTCAATGCGATGTCTGTCTGCTGCTTGGGCAAAACTGTGAAGCACAGAAGCGTGGGCAGCAGCCACACATCTAAACTGGTCAAACACAGTCTGCAACAGTTCTAGCAGCAGTGGCGTGGAACGTGCACCCAAGCTGTGTGGTGGCTGCTGGGACAAGTCCAGCAACTGTTGGGTGGTACGTCCAATTATTGCAAGCAGTTCAGTCTGCATCTGCACCTTAATGGTCTGCAACAGTGATATGTATCCAGGTGAGAGACCTGTTAATGTAACTGGAGATATCCATTGTATTTTCAATGCATCCAGGTTCATTTTGAGATTACATCATACTCTCAGACTAATTCTAGAGGAGTGTTATATCACCAGGCTTATTCTGCAGTGGTATTACATCACCAAGCAAATTCAGTGATGGCATCATAACCTATGCTTATTTCATGATGTCACTATATCCCCAGGCTAACTGTGGATGGAATTATACACCAGGACTAATTCTGGGATTGTATTATATCCTCAAACAGATTCTAAGATGGAATTATCATATGGTTTATTTTATGACAGCAGTATAACCCCAGGTTAATTCTGGGATGGCATTATACCATGATGCTAACATAAGAATAGCATAATCCAAGTTAATTCTGCCATGATGTTACATCTCCTGGCATGATACAGGGATTGCATCAGCCTAAGTGACAGAATTACCTCCTCCTGAATAATCATTAATATTATCCTGTCACCTTTCATTTGCCTCAGACACTAACACATCTTAATTGAAAATAGAACAATTTTCATCTTTCTTTGAAACAAGCCCTCACCTCCACAATGTCAGGCACCTTGTTCAGTAAGGCCAGGCATTCCACTAGTATTGCCATGAAGTGCTCTGAATTTGCCTCTGGATCTGCGGCATCCACATCTTCTTCTACACCCTTCAGTTCTTCCTCTGTGCCTGTCTGGTTCATACCAGAACTCATACCAGCCCTAAAACAGGCCACTACAATCACAAGAGAACAGAACTTGAGGCTCAAGGATTTTGTTTTCAGGAGACAGACTCATGGTACACACAGCTCACTGATATGATTCTGAAGAACCATAAACACAAACACTGCCAAAAGATCTTTTGATGTACCAGTAAAAGAAATCTGGAAAGCAAGTTCAGCAGGAATAAGTTCATCACATAATTTATTGCTTCTGTATTTTTTTACTGTGTTTATACTTGTATTTTTGCCCCAACAAATTATGTAATATCATCAACACAGAACTTCATATGCCTATTAAGTTTTAGTCCTTCCTGATTTCAGTGGACTTCATTAATGGCTTATGGTGAACCTCAGCTGAAAAGCAATGCAATAAAGCATCACCTTCTCTGAGACCATCCTCAATAGGAAATGCATGAAACAAGTATTCACCTTGAAATTTCAATGGGAAATTGTTCAAAACAAACTTTGTCTAAACACCTAACATCAATAATTTAAGAAGTTCTGGAAAGCAACCTACATTTACACTGGATACTGAATTTGATAGGGGGCATGAGGTAGTGTAGCTGGTTGAGGCACTATGCTACAAGCTGGAAGGTCAGGGGTTCAAGTCCCGATGAGGTCATTGAATTTTTTTCAATTGACCTAATCCTTCGGGCTGCACTATGGCCCTGAGGTCGACTCAGCCTCTAACAGAAATGAGTACCAGGAATTAATTAAATAATTTTCCTGGGGAGTAAAGTGCAGCTGGCATGTAAGGCTGACAACCTTACCGCTATCTTTGAGCTGATTGTCTAGATAATGTGGGACCCTCAATGGTCTCACAACCCTATGGGCCTTCATGGCCTGTTACAGGGATAGCTTTACTTTTACTGAATTTGATAACATAAAACATGTGTTAAGAAGTGTTGCTGTCTATAGGGATGACTGTGGAAATACAGAACAGAAGTCAAAAGAATATTTACACTGTTGTGGCAAAGTTTGGGAATCAGAGAACATAATGTTTCATTACCTGGTTGCACTAATGATATTGGAATTTGATCAATAACTGGTGATTTTTTAACTTTCCAATAGGAATTTCCATTTAAAAAATTATGCTCAAGTACTAGTGCTTTAGCTGTATACATTGCAGCCGATCTAACATCATTAACCCCACATATACTTAATAGATGACTGAATTATTCTGAATACTGTAGAAATATGCAAGTAGATTACCACTGACATCTTTTCATTAATGACTTTATGTATGTATCCGAGGTTTCCAATATTTTCGTCTGTAAGTTTACAGTTCCAAAAGTGGACACATCATGCTGGTTGCACACTAAGCACTGTTTACTGATACAGTGTGCTGGTTACCTAAGTGATGGAGTGTTTGGGGATGTTACGTTCATGTCCAGCAAAGCCAGTCGTGTTTTCGGCAATCGTGCAAACCCACGCAGTTCTCCAGCATGTTGGAAGGGTGAGTTGAGAGGGTTGCCATCTCGGCCACTGCCCTGTCGGCGTAATGCTACCACATCGTGAGTTGATACTATGTACAGATGGGATGTCAGTTCTGTCAGCAGTCGAGAGTGCAATTTCTGTGACCATAAACACAGAACATGGTTCAGTTCATGCTATGTCACATTGCTCTACAAACTGTAACAGAGAGTATGAACATTTTGTTAATTCATACTGTAGTTGCTTTAAGACAAATATACACAAAGCTTTGGGTTCATTACTATTCCACTTTTCCAACATACAGAAGGCATGTGGCATCAAAAATAATAACTGAAACCAAACCAAAACTCAAAATTGCAGTTACTGAAAAGACAAAGAGAGAGCACTTCACAGAAATACATAAGTACATTTTTTCATGTGCAAAATAAACACACTACTAAAGTGTATGGGGGCATGAAGGAAACAATCCATGCATTACAGACATCAGCACTAAATGTAGGTGAGTTGTCAGTTTCATGTTCTAATAGAATTATGTCTGGAAAGGCAAAGCAAATTAAAATTTTAAAACATGGCATTCTATGACGGAACATACGTCAGATTTTCCTTTTGTAAATGAACTGATTATTTGGAATAATTTAAGTGGAAGCCTTCTTTTCAGACTTACCCCATTCACAATCAGAAAGCATTCAAAATTCTTGCTTCCAACGCATTAGGACATAATCTCAGATAACAACATTCACTTCAAGGACAGACTCATTTTTCAAGTTTGCAATTGTTATATATAATTACTGCTAGATCGGACGATATTCTGTACAAAAAATCATTCATTAGAGAAACCTGTAGCACCACTAAGAACATCAGAACACAGTTAAGGAACCTGTTTTAACCTCAGGCCTACTGAATGTGGAGCTAAAATCAAGAGTAAACAAATCTGTAGTCAGTGGAGATATCACTCAGATGGGTAATGCAACATCAGTAAACTGATGTGCTCATAACTGTAGAGTTTCTGTGTATTAAGACCGATAAAAAGCACAAACAGAGCAGGAACTGACAGGTGAAGAATATAATAGCAGCAAATGGTTGAAAAAAGACAGACTGAGGATACTGGAGAACAAAGTGCTGAGGAAGATATCTGGCTCAAGAGAAAGAGCGAGTAGTAGGAGGAATAAGAAGACTAATGAGAAGTATCATAATTTCTATTCTTTATTTATATGCATACATCATGCATGGAGAAAAGGAGAAATCCACACAAAATATTGGTCAGAGACCTTTATGAGAGATCTAGATGTATTAAGTTATTAAAGAGGCCAAGAAAGTACACTATGATAATAAAATTTCAAAATCTTATAATAAAATAAAAACTACATGGTCAATTATTAAAAAAGAGACTGGATCTAAAACTCAGAAGGATGAACCCCAATCGCTGAAAGTCAATAACATTATGATACAGAATAAAAGTGCATTGCAAACGTACTTAACGAATATTTTACCTCAGTAGCTCAGACAATTATAGATGATTTAAACAATAACAAAACTCCAACCAACATCAGCCCATTATACTATCTGGGCAATAAATACACGTCTACCTTTAAATCTATCAAATGGCAGTATGTCTCAACTGCTGAGATTAGAAAGATAATCAAATCTTTGAAAACAAAGTCTTCACATGGTTATGATGAAATTTCCACTAGAATTTTAAAAGCAAGTATGTCATATATAACTTCGCCACTAACTTACATTTGTAACCAATCCCTTGCCCAGGGAACGTTTCCAGACAGAATGAAATTTGCTGTCATTAAGCCAATTTTCAAAAGTGGTAATAAATATGAACCAGCCAACTATAGGCCTATTTCATTATTGTCAGCCTTTTCTAAGGTTCTTGAAAGGGTTATCTATAATAAATTGTATGAACATATAGACAATAATCTTATATTGGACAATAATCAATATGGTTTTAGACCTAATTCATCTACAGAGAAAGCATCTTTCAAATTAATAGAGGAAATACTAAAAGCAATGAATAATA